TGTCGTAGTATCCCTGGGCAAGACACTTCACCCAAATTGCTCCTGTGGGGATTGTCCACAGTACTGAATGTATGTAAGTCGCTTTGGATAAAACCGTCTAACAAATGACATGTAATGTAATTAATAAGGTTTCTCAAAACTAGGCGACTGACAGGCCCTTTGGGAATTAGTCGACACTTTTGTTGTATTCATTATTTGTCTATTGATTGATAAATAATTCAATTTTCTTCTGCGACATCAAAGTAATATTCACAAATATGCAATTGTGTTAATTATACAGGTATATATATATAAAAACACTTGGTGCAGTCACTTCTCTTGATTAGACTGTTCCTCATTCAACCAAATGGCTGAGAACACCTAACAAAGCTGTGAACCTACAAACACACCTGGTATAATGTCAACAGATTAATTAAAAAGAACATTTAAGTATCCTACAAGAGGTTTTAAAGTGACTCCATCTGAAGCTTTTAATAACTGCTTGTCTCAAACCTAACACATGTGGTCGTTCTGCTGTGGAGGGATGTGGTACCTTGGTGAGATCGAAGGGGTTGAACTGGAAGGTCTCCGCCTGCTCGAAGGTCATGATCTGGATGAAGAAGGTCCAGGATGGGAAGTTTCCATTAGCAATGGCGTTGTAAAGATCTCCAATGGCATAATCTGGGTTGCTGGCAGCTAGGCGCTCTGCCTCCTCCCCTGACATGTTCTTTATTCCTTGATCAGTCTAAAAAAAAAAAAACACAACATGTCAACAACAAATAGGACTTCCTGTAACTATGCAATGCCAAAACCCCAGGAGGTGAATCTGAAAGGATAAATGAGTGTTAACCCTGGGTTCTGACTGACCTTGAAGTGGAACTTGCAGTAGAAAGGCTCTCCTTGGGTATTGACCATTTTGAAAGTGTGTGAGCCGTAGCCGTTCATATGACGGAAACCATCAGGCAAACCTCGGTCGCTGAACAAGAAAGACACCTGAGCAGGAGGACAGAAGACACACGATCATGATGAGTCCTGCAAACTTTTCATGCATAAATACTTACTTTAATTAAAAACAGTCATGTCAAGTGCCTTCAACTGAGGAATTTAGCTTTCTGTAATAATCCTCTGTAGACTCAAAAACAACAAGGGGCTCAGCAGCAGCTACCTGATGCAGACTCTCAGGCCTCAGGCTCCAGAAGTCCCACACCATGTCGGGGTCTTTCATGTGGGTCTGGGGATTGCGCTTCTGGGAATGGATGAAGGACGGGAACTGCATGGGGAAAAAAGAGGCAGGTTAATGTGAGACGAGAGGAATGTGGTTGGGTGAAGCTCTTTCTACAATCTACTCCTATATTTTTTTGATAGGTTCAAAGCTTTAAAAAGGTCCCCTATTATACTGTTTTTCATCAATATATTATAGGTCTCAGATACTGTATATACAAACATGTCTCTGGAGTGTTTGGCTCCAAACACCAAACAGATCATTGCAGCATCCCATAATCCCCTCTGTTTCAGCCCTGTTTTCAAAGTGCTGATTCTCTGTCCGTTACTTTAGATGAAAATAAGGAGCCCCTCCCCACGCCCCTCTGAGAGATATTTGGTTAAAAAGAACCCCAATGGTGCTCTAGGAGGAGATTCAGGTGATAAGGGGGGAGGGGGGTTACCTTGGTCGGTGATTGGCTAATGGTTACACAAGCCAACAAATCGTCATGACATCATAAAGTGGCCATCAGCACAAGTGGATCAAGACAAAAAGAGAGAGAATCTATTTTCCTGAAACTTTCAGAATGTCTTTACACAGAGGGGACACATGTTGATGTATACAATACATGGAAAAGTGGATTTTGCATAATAGGTGACCTTTAAAACCATTATTTATTAACGTTGTAGTCCTCCCACTGATAAAAGATT